AATTTGGGGGTATGAGAAGAATTAAGACAACAACATGGACAATTAAGAATGTTGCCTTCTATATCTTTTGATTTGTTTTAAATACAGATCCTTACCAATTTGACTTAAATTAACCAATTTTGATTTTTTTTTTTTATATTTTGTTTTATTATTATTTGGTTAATTATGTCATTCTTAGAAGCTTGGCCACCTGTAGCCTCGGACCTTCATCCTTCGACCCTCAAGACCTCTTATAGCGCTCTTGCCTTCCAGCTAGCCGGAAAGAAGTCAATTTCTGTTTTAAAAAAAACATTACTTTTTTATATAGTTGTATTTTTATTTTTCATCCGAACCATCTATATATTATTTTCTCGTTCGGAGTATTTTTTTGTACGGATTATCCATGTTATATTTTTTCCGTTCGTACTATATTGACTTATTTTTTCGTTTAGACTATCTTTGTATTGTTTTTTTTTCGGTCAGATTATCTCTATACTATTTTTTTTGTTCGGACTATCTCTTTGTTATTTTCTCATCGTCTATCCCTATATTTACATTCCGAATATCCCTATCTAATTTTTTTTTCCGATCAAAAAAAAAAAAAAAAACAGAATAATAGTCAGAACTAAAAAATAATACAAAGTTAGTTTGATTGAACAAAAACATATGAATAGTTGAAATGGAAAAATAACATATGGATAATCGAAATGAAAAAATAACACATAGATAGTCCAAATGAAATAAATAACATGAAGATAATCTGACCAAAAAAACAACGCAATTATAGTTAGAACAAAAATTAACACAATGATAGTCAAAGCGAAAAAAATAACATAATGATAATCTTATGAAAAAAGTAACATGTGAATAATCCATACGGATAAATAACATACAGATAGTCGGAACAAAAAAATAAGACAAAAGTAGTCCGTACGAAAAAAGTAACAAACAGATAGTCCAGATCAGAAAAATAACATGAGATAATCCTGCCGAAAAAAACAACACAAAGATAGTTTGATAGAAAACAATAACATGTGGATAATCTCAACAAATAATAATAATAATAATAATAATAATAATAATAATAATAATAATAATATGTATCTATTAAAAATGACAAATAATGAAAAAAAGAAAAGACAAAAAAAATATCATTTAGGGGATAAAGAAGTAGTTTGGAGTATGAAAAGTAATAGCTTATGAAAATCAAAGGTTTTATATTTTCCGCTAAAGTCAATCAAATCAAAATGTTGACATTTGAATTGATATTATTTTGTTTTGTTTTGTTTTTTTTTAAATTCTTTTTTAGTTATTATTATTATTATTATTATTATTATTATTATTATTATTGTTGTTATTGTTGTTGTTGTTGTTGTTATAAATTTCGCACAAAATTTTAACATTCGGACGACATTATAAATTCGAACGGCTTAATAAAATCGATTTTTAAATATTCTTTTTACATTTTAATATTAATATTATTATTGTTATTATTATTATAAATTTTCGAACAACATTTTATAAATCGGGTATTATAAATTCGAACGACTATATAAATGAAAACATTGTATAGTGCTCGACTAAATATTTTCAATCCGATGTTAAAATTTTGTAATATCGTCTGAATGTTAAAATTTATAATAATAATAATAATAATAATAATAATAATAATAATAATGTTAAAATTTTGTGATGTCGTCCGAATTTATAATGTCATCCAAATGTTAAAATTTTGAACGAAGTTTATAATAATAATAATAATAATAATAATAATAATAAAATACAATAATAATAATAATAATATTAAAATTTAATAATAATAATAATAATAATAATAAATTAAAAAAGAATTAAAAACAACAAAAAACAAAATAGAAAAAAAACAACAAAAGACAAAAAATCAAATGAAGGGGGTGAGATTAGAAAAAAAGGGATACTTAGGGGGGAATATACCACAAATAGACAAAAAATGGGGGTGAATTTCTAAATTTAGTCACAAAATTTGATTTTTCCAGCTATAGACATACATTCCGAGGAGGACACCAAATGTTAAAATTTTGAATGAAGTTTATAATAATAATAATAATAATAATAATAAAATACAATAATAATAATAATAATAATAATAATAATAATAATATTAAAATTTAATAATAATAATAATAATAATAATAAATTAAAAAAGAATTAAAAACAACAAAAAAACAAAATAGAAAAAAAACAACAAAAGACAAAAAATCAAATGAAGGGGGTGAGATTAGAAAAAAAGGGATACTTAGGGGGGAATATACCACAAATAGACAAAAAATGGGGGTGAATTTCTAAATTTAGTCACAAAATTTGATTTTTCCAGCTATAGACATACATTCCGCGGAGGACCCTCCGCGGAATGATGTCATCTCCGCGGAATGGATCTTGAGGGTTTTTTTTTTCATATCGATTTTTCGGGGTTTATATTAATTGTTCAACAAATTATTTTCAAGTAAAGATTATAATAATATGATAATCTTTTCTTAAAAACAATTAGTTTGGGAAATGAATATAAACCCCAAAAAATCGATGTGAGGTAGTTCTGCGAAATGAGTTCATTCCTCGGAGGTAGCTCCGCGGAATGGATCTTGGATTTTTTTTTAATACATTGATTTATTTACGATTTTGCCATTCCGCGGAGCTACAATAGATTCCGCGGAGCTACCTCTGCGAAATGCATGTCTATATCTGGAAACGTTCATTTTTATATCTATTTTTTGAAAATACCCCCCATTTTTTTTTTGACTATTTACGGTATTTTTCCTACTTACGGATTGGTAATGTGCTTAGCATGTCACCACATTTTTATGCCATATCATATTTGTTTTGAAGCCACATAGGTTGGAAGTGTGTTAGCATCCAAAATGTAAAAATGTAGGGAGTGATAGTTTGTTAGTTTAATGAGTTTTATTTTAAAAGAAGAAATTAAAAAAAAATATATAAACTTGGATCAGCCAATAAAAACACAATATTCATGTTTCTCTCTCCTCTCTCCAGTCATTAAGCCCATAACGAGCCTTCTTTTAACATTTTCTTGGCATTTTGAAGGGGAAGATGTTTAGCACCTTTAGCATTTCGAGAGTCTTAGCATGCTCACTCCCTTCAGCCTTGAAAACCCCAAATCAAATTAAAAGAATTATTTTTAAATTAATTATTATCATATAATATTCGACAATTTAAGGTTACATAGAAGGTCATATCATATTATAGTAATTTTTTTTTGAAAATAAGTTAGTTACATTTTTAGTCTTTTTTATTTTTTAGTTAGACAAAATAGTCCTTAAACAAATTACCTTTTTCTAAATGGACCCTAAATTAAATTATTATCCTTTGGATTATATTAGTTATATTTTTGGTCCTTTTAATTTTATATAAGACATAATGTTCCCTAAATTAATTAATTATTATAAAACTTATCTCTATTTAAAACAAAAAATAACGAAAAAAAAAAGAACAACCAAAAGACAAAAACATTATGTCCGAGATAAACCAAACAATTTGGGGGTATTCTATAACTAATGCAAGGACATGGACCATTATGAAAATCAAACTAAAAGAATTACTTTTAAATTTATTTTGATTATCCTATAATATTTGACAATTTAAAGTTATGTGAAGTGTGTTGCTATATAAAAAAAATTAGGTCATATCATGTTTTAGTAATTTTTTTTTTTTGAAAATAAATTAGTTACATTTTTAATGCTTTTAATTTTTCTAGTTAGACAAAATAGTCCTTAGACTAATTACCTTTTTTTTTAAACGGTCCCTATATTAAATTCTTTTCTTTTGGATTAGATTGGATATATTTTTGGTCTTTTTAATGTTATGTAAGACATAATGCTCCCTAAATTAATTAATTATTAAAAAACTTATCTTTATTTGACATAAATGTACATAAATGATCCACATGTTTTACAAAAATCGTCTTTATATATATGACAAAATCACAATAATAATATCTATATATAAGAAATTTAAAAAAAAGTCTTATATGGTAATACAAAATTTCTTTTTTTATTATACAAACTTTTTATATCAATCTATTTATTAAATGATACCTGATTAATACCTGCATCGTATTTTGAAATCCCCACTAGTTATATTAGAAAAGGTAAAATAGGAGTCAAGAAACAACAAAGCAAAAATGAGATGGTGATGTGAAGAAAGAAAAAGAAGAAACAAAGCAAAGAATCATTCGAAGGGCGGCTTGGTCTCTCCTGTTAGGTGGGTTTTCAAGTTCCTTCTTCCAAACGCGTTTCTCTCTCTCTCTCTCTCTCTCTCTCTCTCTCCAATTTTCTTACGATCAAATTCCCTGGATTTTCTTTCCGATTTGTTCTTCATTATCTGATTATCAATCTTTTTTACACTAATTTGATTCCCTTTTTTCTTTTTAGTTATTCCCTTTCAAGGGTTTGTTAAAAGAAAGTGCGAAAAAAAGTAAAGCAGGATTCTTGTGGTGTAGTGAGCTTACTTTTTATCCATCTGTCCAGCTCACAGGAGATAATAAAGCTATTTTTATTCAAAAAGACCAGGTTATTTTGAGAGATTTTTGCGTTATCTTTACTTTCAAGTCCCAAGATCGTTAAACTCCAAGTGGGGTTTCTTTTTTTATCTTTTCCTAAATCAAAAGTCAGAATCTTTCCCTCTTCGAGGGGTTTGATCCATACAGAAAAAGGGGAAAACCGATGTGGGGAATTTTGAAGAAAGGGGCATTGATGGTTTTTGGGGGAGTTTGTTTCAGTTTGATTGAAATCAGTGGGTTTCTGATGTATAGTTCAGATATCTTTTTTTGTGTTTTGTGTATTTTATCATAGGGTTTGGAAAGGGGTTTGCTTTAGTTCTGATTCTAGAACAGTTTTTACGATGGGTTTGTTTGTAACCTCCATTTAAAGCCTTCTTCATCACTTCCACTTCGGATGATTTTGATCAGAATTCGAGTTGGGTTTCTAGGGTTTCGATAAATTCTTGTTTCGTTCTTCGCAATCTAAGATATGCTCAAGCAGATTCTCAGTAAAGTTTCCCGGAAACAGTCCAAATCGTCCAAAAATCAAGAATCGTTAAGCAACCTAACCCCAAATTCAACCTCTTCTAGCTCAAAGAGAAGCGATTTAGGAAGCGGGAATTCAAGAAAGCTTGTAAACGCCGATATTTCCTCACCTCTGGATTCCAAATTCAATCCAGGCGAGAAGAATTTCCGCAATGGTAACCCTGTAAGTGTTTCTTACGAAGCTCTACCAAGTTTCAGAGACGTTTCAAGCAATGAAAAACAGAACTTATTCATAAAAAAAGTCGCCATGTGTTCTGTAATCTTTGATTTCACCGACCCCACAAAAAACCTCAAAGAAAAAGAAATCAAAAGACAAACTTTACTAGAATTAGTCGATTTTGTTGCTTCTAGCAACGTTAAATTCACAGAATCAGTCATGCAAGAGTTTGTGAAAATGGTATCTGCAAATTTATTTCGTGAACTCACTCCACAACCCCGTGATTGCAAAATCTTGGAATCATATGATCTCGAAGAAGAAGAACCATGTATGGATCCCTCATGGCCTCATTTACAAATCGTATATGAACTTCTACTAAGATTCATAGCCTCCCCAGAAGCCGATGCCAAAATTGCAAAAAAATACATCGATCATTACTTTGTTCTTAAATTGTTAGACATGTTCGACTCTGAAGATCCAAGAGAACGTGAGTACTTAAAGACAATTCTTCATAGGGTTTATGGTAAATTCATGGTTCATCGTCCTTTTATAAGGAAATCTATCAACAATATCTTTTATAGATTTGTGTTAGAAACCGAAAAGCATAATGGGATTGCAGAACTTTTGGAGATTTTAGGGAGTATTATCAATGGGTTTGCTTTGCCATTGAAGGAAGAACATAAGTTGTTTCTTTCAAGGGCTTTGATTCCATTGCATAAACCGAAATGTTTGGCCATGTATCATCAACAATTATCATATTGTATTACTCAATTTGTTGAGAAAGATTGTAAATTGGCTGATATGGTGATTAGGGGTTTGTTGAAATATTGGCCTGTTACAAATAGTTCAAAGGAGATTATGTTTTTGGGTGAATTGGAAGAGGTTCTTGAAGCTACACAACAACCCGAATTTCATCGGTGTATGGTGCTTTTGTTTAAACAAATTGCTCGTTGCTTGAATAGTTTGCATTTTCAGGTAATTAATTTATCATTCTTTTGATTATTTCTTGTTTTATTTTCTTTCAAATGTGTAGTAGTGTATTGGTTGTGTAAGGCTTAGATGGTGTTTGTTATAATGAAATTGTGAAAGGAAAGGAATGGAATGGAATGGCTCATTCCATTCCATTTCATGTCAAGTTTTTAACTAAATGCCTAACAGATTATGATTCCTTCATATTCCAATTCCTCTAAATAGTTTCCATTCTCTTCAAAAACCATTCCATGAACCAAGTTTTTGGTATAATGAAATCGGGAAAGGAATGGCTCATTCCATTCCATCTCATGTCAACCTTTTCAACCAAATGTCTTAACAGATTATGATTCCTTCATATTCCAATTCCTCTAATAGATTCCATTCCTTTCAAAACCATTCCATGAACTAAGTTTTTGAGAAAAGATCGAAGCTTTTTGATTGATGATATGTCGAAGGGTAGATTTGGTATTTCCTTCTTCAAATGCATGTATCAAGGATCTTTCAAGGTTTTCAACAAATCATTTAATCACCCCAACATTTTCAATTAGGGAGTTTACTTGATTATTTTTTTTTTTTTTTTCAGGTGGCAGAAAGAGTTCTATTCTTCTGGAACAATGATCACATTGAGAATCTAATCAGACAAAATCGGAAAGTAATTCTCCCCATAATCTTTCCAGCACTTGAAAGAAATGGGAGATATCATTGGAATCAAGCTGTTCATAGTTTGACTTTAAATGTCAGGAAAATCTTCTTTGACCTTGACCCTGAACTTTTCAACGAGTGTTTGCTCAATTTCCAAGAAGAAGAGGCGAAGGAAGATAAGATGAAATCAAGACGTGAAGCCACGTGGAAAAGATTAGAAGAAATTGGTGCAGATAAAGCTTCAAGTAATGAAGCTGTTCTTGTGAATTAGGAGTTGAATTCTAAAGATTCAAGCTTTTGTAATCCTGTTTTGGGAAAGCTACAAGTTGTTTTGTAAATTTGGGCTGTTTTTTTTTTTTTTTAATGTTGTAGGTGGATAATGTGGTACATTTAGTTCGATAAAACTAGCTAAAAGCAATGCATTTTGAGCGAGTTTCTAGCTCATATATATTTCCATTCGTTTAATTGGAATAAATGATAATATTAGATTGCTTTTAGGGCAAGTTACATCAAACCTATTATATTTTTGTCGATTTTGTAGTTTAACTATTATAGTTATTTTTCGTCTATTCGAACCATCAAAGTTATTTTTCTACGTTGACCATTTCAACATTCTTTGACCTATTATAGCATATCAAAATGACGACGAAAACTCCACTAAAACTATATGATTTTCTACAAATTCTCTTATGACCATTTTAACTCAAAATGACCACAAAACTTTTGGTGGTAAAACGAAGACGAAAACTCCACTAGAACTATTTGATTTTCTACAAATTCTCTTATGATCATTTTAATTGATATAAAAGGCTAAAATAGCTATAAATGGTAGGTTTTTGATGCGAATGTAACGGGGGTTTGTTTTCAAGTAATATGAATACAGTGGAATCAAAATTTATTCGACAAGAAAACAACAAAAATGGATAGATTTGACAGATAATTTAGACAAAGGAAAAATGCTACTGTTGCACAAGTAACTTTTTCGTTTGGTTTGATTTGACCAATGTTATTTTTTTGCACAATCGACCATTAATATTTTACCGTAGATGTCAATTACACCATTGTGACCGATTTTAGAAGGTTTCCTAGTTTCTCATTCACCTATCATTTATTTTAAATTGAAACTGTTAATGATGTGTATATTTGGTCCATGTTACTTTAATGTAAGATATTAAGACAGATCATCACTTCACTTGTCTCCTTCCCCTCGATCTCAATTTACTCTGCAAGAAGTAAACGACGAGTCAACAGTTAGGGTTTTCACAGTTGCGTCTGATCGAGGTATCATGCTGCCAATCGAGTTCTAAACAAAGCTAGCAGCTTAACTGGCACAACCTAATCCGGATGTTGGATTATTTGCGATGGTTGAGCTCAATTACTAAGATGTATTTACTCGTAATCCTTTTTCTTACTTTGGGGGAGTAAAAAGCTCCTTCAATAATGTTGAATTTTCTTCTATGATTTATTCTGAGTGTCTCACTTTTCTGGAACGTTTCATGCATGAGGAGATTAAAAAACTTTACTACTGTGAACCAGAAAAAGCTTTATGTGATGACATTCGACCAATTTTAGATGATGTAGATTTTGCTGCTTTTATTTATGATGCATATGGACAAATGGCATAGTTTATGTCTATGTTGACCATGATGGTGATGGACTTAGGCGTCGGTTTGATGATGAACAAAATGAAGGTGATGATAACGACTCCTGTGTTGATGGTGTGGAAAATGGAGATAATCTTAGGGATGTGGAGGTTAAAAATGAGGAAGATGCTATCCCTATGAATAGACAACCCATGATCCTTTCTTGAGTCAATTATGTGTTGAAGGGGGTTTAGATGATGAGGAAAATGACTTTATAGATGATGATAATGGGATGAAAATGCATGATTCCCTATAGATGCATTCCATTTACAATGAGAGTTTACACTGGAAAAAACAAAAGCACATACTTGGAATGAAATTTAAGGATCCAAAACAGTTAAAAAGCATGTTATGCAATTATGGAGTGGATAATGGGTACCAATTATGGTTTGAAAAGAATGATAGATAGAGACTTCTTGTTAGGTGTTGTAAAGGTGCATGCACATTTAGACTATGGATATCTTGGATGAGTGATGAAGCTAGTTTCCAGATCAAGTCTTTGAAGGACGAGCATAATTTTGCTAGGAATTTTAAGTTAGGCTCATTGGTTACATATTCATGGATTGGGAGCCACTATACCAAACAAATTCTAGATAGATAGAAAATGAGTGTGAGGAAACTTAGTCTAGCAGTGATCAAAAAGTTTGGTGTGAATGTCAGCATAGGGCAATGCAGAAGAGCAAAAAGATATGCAATGGAGCTAGTAGAGGGTAATCTTAAGGATCACTATGCAAAACTCTGGTCATATAGCCAAAAGATTATGAGAACAAATCAAGGTTCCACTATTAAACTTGAGGTGGATCATATGCCTGATGGGAAGAATCATTTCAACAAGTTCTATGTGTGTTTTGATGGTGTGAAAAAAGGTTGGATGGAAGGATGTAGAAAGATAATTGGACTTGATGGGTGTTTCTTGAAAGGGATTTGTAAGGGGAGTTACTTTGTGCTATAGGTAGGGATGCAAATGACAAAATCTTTCATACTGCATGGGCAATGGTGTCTATTGAGAACAAGGAAAATTGGAAGTGGTTTTTAGATCTTCTTATTGATGATCTTCATTTAAACTTAGGAAATGGATGCTCTTTAATGTAAGATCATGATAGGGTTTGTGTTTTTATTATTTGATCCTTTAATTCATTATATTTCATATTATAACATCAAGAAAAATAATTTCCTTTTTATAGGGGTTGGTTGAGGTTATGAAGGAGATAATGCTTTTTGTAGAGCATAGATAGTGTGCTAGACACATTTTTCAGAATTTACTTAAGAGATATAGTGGGACCCACTTGGAGACACTGTTTTGGAGAGAATCAAAAGCATCAAATGAGAATACATTCACAGCTACAATGAAAGAATTGGAAAATTTAAACCCAGAGGCCCATAAGTACCTGATGGACAAGGATCCAAAAACTTGGTCTAAGGCATACTACCAAGCAGGTAGATGTTGTGACTTAGTTGAGAATGACATGTGTAAGAGATTTAATGCTATAACTGTAGATGCAAGAAAGAAGCCAATTATAACAATTTTAGAAGAGTTGAGATTGTACATGATAGAGATTGTACAATATGAAGGTGAGAGGACAACAATGGGGTAATCAGATTTGTCTAGAAATAAGGCATAGGGTAAATGAGCTTAAAAAGCACATGAGACATTTTTAGGTGTTAGCAAGTGGCTTAAACCAATTTGAAGGAGAACGTGTGAGGCATTTGAGGTTGACCTTGACAGAAGGAGATGATCTTTTAGGTTGTGGCAATTGAATGGGTACGGATGTGTGCATTCTACAACATGTATCTCATACCTAAATAGGGATGTGGAAGCATATATGGATGTGATGTTTAGTACCACCACATACATGAAAAGTTACAAATATAGAATTGCAGCCATGAATGGGAGTGACATGTGGACACAAACAAATTATATTCCGCCTTTGACACATATTAGCAGAAGAATGCCTGACAGGCCAGTGACTAAAAGGGAGGGGTGATGTTGAAATACTTATTAGCCATAAGGTATCTAAGGCTGGAAAGAAAATCAAGTGTAGCATCTGCAAGGAGCCTGGTCACAACAAAGTCACTTGCCCTACAAAAGGACCTAATGATGTTAACACAAGGAAGAAAAAGAAACAAAAGGTTAGTAAAGGTGGCAATAATGGAAATAATGGAATAAGTGTCAATGAAGCAAGAGGACATGTATTATATTTAATGTTAATTTGAGTTTAATATGCACTATAACAAAATATTAATGAAACATTACTTGTAGGTTAATGAAGGTGGCTCAGGAGGGCAAGAACATGATGAGGTGCAGCTCACTCCAACTGATGTGCAAGTTACTCCTACTCAAGATGGTGGTGTTAATGGTCAAGTTGATGAAGCTGATGGTAGTGCACAAGTTCAAGTCCAAAGGAGGATCAGTATGAAAACAATTTCTGAAATATTGAAGGGGATAAGGAAAAGAAAATCACAAAGAATCACAAAGGTGACATTGGGCAAGAGAGTTGGGATGATAATGCTCCAGGAAATTCAAAGGAGAAACCACTTCCTATAGATTAGAATTAATATGTTTTATGCTTTTATTTGTGTTATGTTGTGATACTTTGATGCTATGAAGTTGTTATGTTTTCCATTAGTACATTCTATGCAATGATATACAATTACAAAACTACCCATTACTATGGGCATTTTTGGTATTTAATGGAAGTATTTTACTCAATTTATGCACTATTCCAAAATATGAAAGTTGATTGCTATTTTTTGAAAGATGTCAAGCTATATGTTGCATGGATAATAATGACCAATATGGTTATATGTGTATATATTTTATAGACTAAAATAGACAATGTGTTTGATATAAGTAGTTTCCAAAATAGACTATGTATACTTTAATGACCAATATGGTCTACAGTTGACAAAAAGATAGTGGTCTACACATAAAAAAACAAATACTTGATCCACTAATGAAGTTGTCGTTAGATTAGGTAACAATTACGAAATTGCCCATACACATGGGTCTTGCAGTTTCCAAAATAAGCTGCTAAATGTTGGGTTCTACAACCAACATGGGTCTTTTCAGTTTCCAAAAGTAGTACATAAACACCAAAAGACAACTAAATCAATGACCAAAAGACAACTACATATACCAAAACATCTACAATATTCCCTTCTACTTAAAGCACCAAAGTGCAATAACCAATAGAATCATCACAACCAGAACTTTCAATATGGAATTTTGCTGCATGGAAGTTTCCAATTTGCTGTTAAGCATCATCACAACTTCCTTCTCCTTTGTTTTCTCAAGCTTGTTAAAAACTGACCTTTCCTTTGAAATCATAAACTCCAACTCCACAACCTTCTTCCTAAGGCTGATCAGTTCAACAAAGTTCTCCTTTGAATCTACATGTTGCTTCAATGTTATCATAAGGTTATTGTAGTACCCCTCAAACAACTTATCGTCTTTCCAGAAGAAGTAATCAC